CCCTGCCCCACACATTTGAGTGACTGGCAGTTCACTGACATCCCTCCGCACTTTTTCAGTCAGTGAAATCAGAACGCACCCGGTTTCTGCCCATGTGCTACGCACAGGCTGTCGGTGGTACACGCTGCATGGATTTCAGAGGTCCTCTTGCCCCTCGTCTAGGAGGCAAAAAAAATATGGAAGGGCAGTAATCAGGATGTGCTTGCCTGCCTGCTGCTTTAGTTTGCAGCGTGGTGCAGTAGGTATGAACTGTGCTGGCTGAGGAAGCGGACCTGGTACGTGGGGTGCTGTGCCAGCTGTGGGTGTAGCAGCTTCCGGCAGAGGGCTGGAGAGGACGGCTGAATGGGTCTGCGTGCTGGACTGGTGCATCTGCGTCTCCCGTGAGTCAGAGCTCAGTCATACGCTCCTCAGCCTGGTCAAACAAGACACTCCTGGCTGGCACATGAAATTGTGGTGCCAGCTTCCCCTCCCCCTCCCATCCTAGGTTTCAACAGGATTTTGGTACAAAAGAGGCTTGGCTGTGCCCACCTGCCAGCTAACTTGATTTCTTTTGATTGCGCTGTAAAAAGAAGAGTTCGTTCTGCTTATCACGTCTGTACTTTGGTTATAGTGTCAGGCTTGGGCAGATTAATTGGTTGTAGCTTTAGCAGAGCTGTCAGGGTATTTAACCCGTTGGAGAAAAATGACCTAAGCTGATGATAAACAGGCTTTAAATGCAGAGCAATTACTTAGTGCTAACAAAGCACCATGACTACACACTTTGTCCAAATGCAAAAAGCAAAGTCTTATCAGTGGTTCTGTTTGAGGGAGGACACTAAAAGATAACCTTTGTTTGTGCAAATACTTACCTGATAAGATCATCCGAAAGGCAACGGATGAAATTTCTAGTTCTATCTTGCCTGAAGGTTATGCTTCAGATTAGAAAGTATCCAATAAAAAAGAATAATAATCGCAAACTGAGAATGCTCAATTCTCTCTTTTAGTTGGACCACAAGTCTCTCATGGTGGGTGTCTTTCCTGCATGCGTTGATTGCATTTGTTTCTAGCACACAACAATAAAGCAATTTAAAGACCTTTTACCAACAGGACTTTGGATTTCATTGTTCCCAGGAACTGGCAAAGCTAGAGGGCTGGTTAACATTGAACTTGGTTTGTTCCTTGCAGACTTAACCCTGACTGGTAGCCAGGGTTTACAGCACAGTAGTCCTGTGACTCACGGCTGTTGTGCTTTGCATCGATGGTGAAACTGGTCCGGGAGTTTCCAAACTGTGAAAGGTTAGGAGGTACTTTTAGTGGGACGTGCACTTGATACCATTTGCCTCTCAAGGGTCACAGGTCACATTTTGAAGCAGCAGAGGTTTGAGTTTTTATTGTGATGAGTCTTAACATCTTGCGTCTGACCTCTGCCTAGTTCACTCCAGGTTTTTTTCTGTGTTAAGATTTGACTGAAAGGACACTGTTTATTGAATGCTTTTAACTGACCGATTTAAAAAAAAAAATCCAGTTTGTTACAGCGCATCAATCAGAAGATTCACAAAACTGACATCTTTTATTTTGCTTTCAAATAACTTATCAGAGATTTCCCATTTGGTGTTTGTAAAGGACCTTTATATCAAGGGGCAAATAAAATGCAAGCACATTTCAGTCATTGTGGATCAAGGCCTTATATTCACCCAAGAATGCTCAAAACTCCATCTCATGCAGAAAGTAAATATATGTTTTCTAGTTAAATGTTTTTAAGTGTAATTATCTCAGCCTGCTCTGTGGTCTGTGTCAGATTTTTAAACATGAATGTGATTTTTAGGTTGATTTGGATGCGGTGTAGTACTTCGTCTGGACGCTTCAGCCACGACATGGTGTACTCTACTGACTTTGACTTCCTTTGGCCACTTTCAGCTGCAGTTGACAGAGGGACAGAGATGGCAAAGACATCACGTTCCTACTAGTTGCATGAGAGGCAGTGTCTGGGTTGAGAAGCAAGAGGCTCTGAATTAGTCCTGTGTGCCCTCTACTGAAAAAGACTCTATGTAAGGCATAGCCTCATGAGGCGCAGCGAACCTGGGCAGACAGGCAAGCTGTTGGAAACTGGCTGTCGTTCATCTGGAGTGCTTGGTCTGTGGGGATTTCTCGCCCAGCTGATAATTTACACAATTTATATTTTGAATGGTCAGGGACCGCACTGCCTACACTTAGGACATTTCAGTGGTTTCACACTCGTGGAGCTGTGTGCTCCCCACCTTTGGTAACACGGGCAGATGTTGAGGGAGTGTTTTGCAGCTCCGCACGTATGGGGAACTATACAGGAACTGGTCCAGTAGCTTCGTAAGAAGTTTTGCAAATGATGTTGTCCATGTGAGCTCTGGCTGCTCAGCCTGTTTGTTGTGGCCTGCCACAACCAAATTGTGAACTTTTGAGACAATGGAAGGACTGCAAATCTGAAGTTGGACCAGACTTACTTACTGAGGGGTTTCTAATGCTTCAGTTTCCACAGCAATGGAAATAAGCACTCCCCTCCCTTGAGTGCTGGGTACGTGCGTGTATGTATGTGTGTCTTGCATAAGCCTGGGAGGGCAGTGCCTACTTCTTTTCCTGGAAATAGATTGGAAGGGAGAAGGAGTGTTGGATGCTGGCTCTTGCAGAGCTCCTAGTGCAAAACAGCGTATCTCAGGGAGGGGGACAGGTATAGGGAGAGGATGGCTGTCACCAGGGCCTGTGCTGGCTGAGACCCCCCTGACAAAGGGAGTCCTTCGATCAAGAGTTTGGTTTTCATCTGCACACTTTTTATTAGGAGCTGGAAGTTGCAGGATATGAATGCAGTTCTTGAAGGCAGGGGAACGTGATGTTAGTCATTGATATTAGTCGTTGACAGTTTCTGCCTTGTGGGCTATTCAGGCTATTTCCTGAAAAAGGAAATCTTTCATTAGCTAATTATTTTCCTTAGCAGTGCTGTAAGGGCATCAGCAAATAATACAGTTCCTGGCAAAGCTGCTGCACTGTTTAGTGCCTGCCTGTGTGATCAGGGGAGAATGATGGGGAAATTGCAATGAAAGAAATTCTGTCAGAGCTGAAAAATACTAATGACTTCAAAATGCTGTTCAGCGTTAACTCCTTAGCAATCAATTTTAATAAATCTTCTATGTGCAAATGAGGAATCCCAATGTCATGTGTTGTCTGATACCTGGATTTTGACTGTTTTCTAGTGGTTTTTGACATTGTGCCAAATATATTATGAAGGTGTGATGCAGCACAGCTGCTGGAACACATTCACCTCTAATAGCAGCAATGGTGCAGCCTACAGAACTGAAAGGGGAAAATGCAGTATCCCAGTGAGTGTGCAGCTGAGAATTGGGTGGGTAGGGCAGACATGCTTGGTGAGTCAGAAGGAGCAAGGGCACTGTCCTGCTCCATAAGAGTACCGTAAGGTTGGCAGTGCCCAGTGTCAATGCTGTGCTTGCAGGACTCTTCCCCTCCCACCCCAATAAATCTTAGACTTTTTTTTTTTCAAAAGTATAAAAGGCATATGAGGCTTTGTACCTCTCAACAGCAATGAAAAGTCCTCGTCCCTCCAAGACAGCTGTGAAAGCATCAGTTTAAGGTGGTTGTTTAAGACACCTAATGGAGCAGAACGAACCAAGGTGCTTCCGTTATTTTTTGGTTTAGCATTCTGTCAAAGATTACAGTTGGTATTGTTACCGTGGTGATCTGTGGTTTAGCTAATTATGTTGTTGTAGCTTCTAAAATCTCCTCTTTGTGTTGCTGTGTACTTTCTCATTAGTCTCATATGTAACCATGTAAGTTTATATTGGTGTTTCGGTATCTTTGGTTTTTTGTCCCATTGTCTTTCTGTTCACTGCCATTCAGTTCTGCCACTGCAAACTGCTCCTTGTCACAGCTTTGTTCATGCATTAAATAATACCACAAATTTAATTTCTGTATTGCCTTAAAACTATGTGATTGTAATGTAGGAAATGAGTTCACAGTTTCTTTTCTAAGCAACATGCAGTGTAAAATAGATGCACCTCTTGAGATACTTGGTTGCTTTTTTTGCAAGAGTGATGTGATTCTCCACTCCCCATTATACCCTAGCATGGTGTTTTATTTGTTCTGTGTGGATGGAAAATAAAGGAGGTCAGCTGGTTGTTTCTCTCTGTGTGCACACAAAGATAGACATTTTAATTAGATGAACTTTTTCTCTTCCTGACATCTTTATGGCAGATGCATAGGTTTCCATAAACTTTCTTGCTAATATCCACTTACCTTTACAAGGACCACTTTTCTCTGTAATGTTACTTTAACCCAGTTTTTCATTTTACTGCAAGTCACTCTAATTAGGACATCTCTTCTCTGTTCAGGTTTCTGTAATTTAGCTTTACTGAACAGGTCTGTCAGTGGATAATCAATGGTCTTGCCTGAAACCTTGGTTTGTGTAAGGAAAATATGCCTTTTTCAAATAAGTCATTATAGAGTCTGTACCAATATATATATTTCTGTGTGAAAAACGGGATGGCTATCGATCAACTTTATGTTGGAAGAACAGTATCTGCATGACATTTTCCCCCATATGGTTATTTCAGTTACAAAACCATAATCACATCTGAAATGAACAGCTTTCTAGCAGTCCAGGAATCTTGTGCTAAAAGCCATAAGAAATACTTTTCATGTGTAGTTTGAGTTACTTGCTTTTATTACTCAGTTAATTGTTTGAAGAAACACCTTCAGTGCTCAAGATGAGCTTTCAACAGCTGTAAATGTGCGCAGTACATGCTTTCCTGATGGTTGGAGAGCGACATTGGCACAGCATTCATTCTCAGTGTGGAATTGTTGTGCCCATGAGGAATGCTGTAATGGTGGCTAGTGCTTACAGGGTGACATAATTCCAGTTTCTGACAAGCTCTCCCTCCCCTCTAACCTCATTTTTCTGCAGTCTTCTGGTGAGGAGAGAAAATCTTTTGATTTTTCCAGTTGTAAAGGTGTGACACATCCATTTTTCTCTTTTTCAGGATCTTTCCTAGAGAGTATCTTCTCCAGCAAATCCATCTTTATTCTCTCGCAGACCTTCAGCAGGTAAGTTTCTTCAACTAATTCAACCTGTTCTTATTTTCAATGCTAATTGTACGTTCCCCCTTCTGGCTAATCGTAGCATAAGTAGCTTTATTGCCAAGCCATCCTTGTGCTTTATAGTTTCATATAGAAATGGGTTAACAGGGGCATTGGTTAGGGATGAGAGAGAGAAAGCCTACAGAGTCAGTGTTGAAATGAGGCTGGAAAGAGGCTGCACAAGAAAGTTGTAGTCTGCAAAGAACTTTGCTCTGAGAAATTTTTCATCTTCAATGAAGGCTCATGTAAGGCTCAGCCTACAGGTGACAAGTAGTATTTATTTCTGTGCTTGAAAGAGTAGTTATTCAGGAATGTATGAGTTTGTACAGTCCCTGGTGCAACATGCTTGTTTACAAAGCCTGCTAGGCATTACCACAAGAGGGGAAAAAAAAAATTGCACAAAACCCTCAGCAAGCCTGCTACACCGATTTAAGCCATGCGGTGTGACTGTGACAGACGTGACCACAGAAGAGTTAACGTGCCAGCAAAATGTGTCCTTGCACTGATACTGGTTGAACTAAGCAAGCACCTTGCAGTACATCTGCCTGAACAGCAGAGTTCTATTATGTACCAGATTAAGCAAGAAGAATTTGGCAAAAAGCGCTGAAAAGAGAGGAAAGGAAATCAAAGGTGAATGTGGTGCAGTACTCAGGTGCACAGTGGAGGAAGCAATGAGGTAACCTGCGCTAGCTGGCCTGGGCCATTACCAGAGATATGCAAAACACGTTAAGCTTCTTCGGCTGATGTTTCCCTTGTCTAGTGGTGCCTTTTCTGCAGGATAATGGGCAGCATAGTCGGTTCTGGATCTTCAGCTGAAACATTGAAGTTGATGTAGTTCAGATGCCCCTCAGAGCTGGAGACTACAGAACTACAGAAAACGTGGCTTTTGTTGGCTGGTGAAGTCACAGGGTGGAAATGATTCCATGTGAAAAATAAAAAGGCCAGCCAGCTGAGGTCTAAAACAGTTTCCACATCTTTTCAGCATGTTCTGCTATCTCATCTTTAATAATCAAGCCATGAAAAACCCAGCTACTTAACTGCAGAGATGCAGTCTCCCTGGTGTGCCTGTCTATTAGCCCCCAGTGCTTTGTAAGCTGCTTAATCAGTTCCTAACATTGCTAGTAGATGTTTTAGAAGCAATCAGCAGCTTATCAAGCATCCTGTGGGAAGGAGGGAGGGTAGAAGTCACAATTCATCCATTGATTTAGCAGTTCCCTTTAGCATGTTTCTTTGTGTTTGGCAGAGATGCAGTCTCCCTGGTGTGCCTGTCTATTAGCCCCCAGTGCTTTGTAAGCTGCTTAATCAGTTCCTAACATTGCTAGTAGATGTTTTAGAAGCAATCAGCAGCTTATCAAGCATCCTGTGGGAAGGAGGGAGGGTAGAAGTCACAATTCATCCATTGATTTAGCAGTTCCCTTTAGCATGTTTCTTTGTGTTTGTGTTTGCAATCCTGAGGGCCCCAGCCCCATACTTATCATATTTAGAAGCAATATAATTCAATTACCATTTCTGCTGTGTTGGGTTAAATTGCATTTATCATTTAATCTAGCTATATCCTTGTTGTCAGCCTGGAGAGGGTTATCCACATTTCAGAGGCTCCAAGTTTGAAATCGGATTGCCTGTTTTTGTCAAGGTGGAAGCACAGTGGAGAGGGGAGGAGGGCCCCATTGAGAAAGACTAACACCCTTTTAGCCCCTGGTTTGCCCCTTACCACCGCTTCCTCCCGATTGCGCATCGTTTTCTACTGACCTGCAGTTTGGGCATTTTTTAATCCTGAACGTTTCCCCTCCTTCTGATTCCTCTGCTGCCTATTTCCTCACATCCATGGGCTGTTTTTGCACTGTATCCTGCTGTCATGTAGATTGCATGTGTTTGGGGAATTAACTAAAAGGTTTATTAAAGATTAATGGAAAGATAAGGCATGGTGAGTGAATTAGAAAAGCAGAGAGGGGTAATCTGCAGATAGAAGCAACCTTAACCCTGGTTAGTCCCAGCTCAGTTCTGATTTGCTTCCTAGCCAAGTTCTCTTTAAAGATCCTAGAAAACATGGGTCATTTCCTATCAAGCAGCTGAGTTTCAAAAATGTGGTAAGAGGGTCTGTTCCTAGGTGCAAAAAGGTTGAAATTCCTGTTTTTCTAGTAGATGAAGCAGCACATAATAACTATTCTGAAATTAAATCCAATTTAAATCTCTCTTCAAGCTTAACAGAGCTCCATGCCTAGGCCTTATGGATGTGGCAGGGTACATACTTGAGCTGTCTAATGGTCTGGGGATAGTTGTCACTTGGATCCACTTGGACAGGGCTCTACTGGGGAAGACCTTAACTGTGAGGAAAAAAATGGAGACAAAATAGCCTTAATTTTGGAAAATCACCAAACCCTGGTGAAGTGGTGGTTTTGCTAGTACTTACTCATTAACAAATGGTCATAGTGCAGATGTGAGTAGGCCTGACCTTTAACCAGAGGCAGCACGTGATGGTCTTTATTTTTATGTGCGTTTTTATTTGAAATAAACACAAATGCACACATGCACCCCAGCAAGATTTCTGTGCAGAAAAGGGCAGCAGGGACTACATGAAAGTTTACACCAAATCTGTCTATGTGCATTCCCATGGAATACATAGTCTTAGAATCATCATCATTGTCGCCAGAGGTGTTAGCAGGCAACATAACTAATTAGGTGCATCCAGATTTAACAAGCAGAAACATGAAGTATGACAGCTTGCCTGTTCTGCCCCACTGGCTACACTCGCTTTCCTTTCCAACCCTCCCTGGTGTCATCTGCCCAGAAAGCAACCTGCCCTGCATCACCCATAACACCACCGCATCTCCACTAGCTAGTTTATCCAGGGCTATTCCAGTCGATTAAAGCTTTAAAGAGGGAGACCTGCAGTTGTTAGGAAGCAAGTATTGACTCCTGAAATTTCTGGGTTTAGCAGACATAGTACACTGGAAAAATGGGTTACTCTTATTCATGTGAATGTAGTCCCTGATGGTGCAGTCACAGCCCAGGGTAGCTTCACCCTAAACCTACTGGAGGTGTGAACTCTGTTGGCTGGTGGCATTACTAATGGACATATGACTGCTTTAGTGGACATACGGACACAGTTCATGCAGCTGGAGTTAAAAATGATCCATTCATTTTGTGTGACTGCCTTTTGTGAGACTAACAGTTTTTGCACTGTTGAACATTGGTTTGGACAGAAGCTGACTCAGACATGACTCGCATTTGTTAGGAAAAGTAATTCTTGCTACTCACACTAGATTCCCTGTTAATGGGAATAATTAAAGTAAAAGACTTGAAGTGGCTGTTGTGGTGAGTTCAAAATTCAGGTGCTTAATCCACACAGAGAGTTAACTGTTGTCTTGCCTGTTAAATAGCAAGATACACAAGTGTGCAAAATTATTGCAGTGATGGTCTTTACTGCAGAAACACTCTTAATTATGGCGATTGTTTCATTGTGGTTATAATACCCCCAAAGTATGTGATAAAATAAGAAGAGTCCACATAACAACAAAAATGACTGGATGTCAAGGATGGAAATTGTGAGCAAGATAGGAGATTATGTTCTGACACATCATTCTGTTTACATGGTAACACTCAGGGAAAAAAAAATGAAGTGACAAAATATGGGAATTTAAAATGATGAGTTGAATTACATTGAATCACTCTGTAAATACTGTTATTCAAAATACAAGTGGCTTTCATTTGGTTTATCTCCATTTACTTTGGAAGCAAAGGGAGCTAAATTGTATTAAGGCCATTTTCATTCTGAATGTGTATGTCCATACAGGGATTTAATGTAGTATAATTTATCCATTTTAACATTGTAGATAAACTAATCCGTTAAAATTTAATTAAAACCTCCATTTACTTCAGATCAACTTTCCTGTCTATCTACCTGTAGATGAACCTACAAACAATGTGAAGAACAGGGCAGAGAAAGGACGAACAGGAGCGCCCTATTCTGACAGTAATATAGCACAGGTCAGACAGTGAATATGAGATACGCAGAAAAATCCTTAATGGAAATGCATCTTTGCAGAACACACAGCAAGCATGAGGAACTTAATGCCACAGTAATATTAGTGAGGCCAGAAGTTTATCATCTTTGAGAGGATTAAGTATCCATAATGAGAATGTCCACAGTTACACCACGTATGATAAAGAGATTATAAGGTTCCAGAATAGACATATTATTTACTGTGGGGATTAGGAAGATGTCTTCCCTATTGACAGACTTACCAATGATTTCATCTTCCTCTGACGTATGTAGTACTGATTACAGTGACTGATAGGGTTTTGGACTAGGTGAACAGTTGGTCTGACAGAAGCATTCCCAATATGAAAACCTTAATACTTCTATTCAAGGTTTTGTGCATATAAGGTTCCCTAACAAAAATGTGGGGAATAAAAATGAACTTCAGTGAAACATAGGTTCCACCTAATTTGAGCCTAGTATATTGCTGGATCAGGATTAGGAAGCCTTAGAAGAGCAAAGAGATTATTAGGTCTCATTCACTTTTCTGGGCTTTTAATTCCTTTTCATCACACCTCCCTTTCCAATGGCAAATTTGGGTCCTCCCTATATTTTCCTAGGCTGAGATGGAGTAGGAGATTGGAGATGCTCTTTCTCGCATTTTTGCATATGCAAAACCTTAGGTTGATGTAGACAAGCTGTTTCATGAGTCCCAGCAACAGCAAAGACTGCAAGGAGATGGTGGGATTTTTTTGCTCTTGCTGTTTTTTTCAGAAGTAAAACTTCTTTTCTGATCACTGAGTCCTCATACAATTACTGCTCAGCTTAGATTTATAACATACAGCCTGATGACTTCCAAGTCCATCAGTGGTGGTGTCCTTGCCCAGCAGTTTCTTTGTATTCACACATCAGAAGGATGGGATGTGGCAGCTAACCCACCTGCCTGTGCTGATGAAAGCCAGTACATGCGGCTATACGGATTGACAAA